ATTGACAAATTTATGTAAAGCATTATTTTAAAAAGAAAATAATATGTTTATGATATGTATTTTATATTTACTAATTTTATTTTTATTGTTTTATATCAATGCATTTATTAAAATAACCTAATTATGGTATGGATTACTACTGGGATTGAACAAAATAAATACTGGATCATGGATGCAAAATGGAATATGAACTTATTTATATTATATATATTATTTTATATTTACCGTAATTAAAATCACTCATTGAGTGAACAAATGAGCATACTGTAATGCTTATTGGGAATACATACCATCTATTAGGCAGAAAACTTATCTACAGAACAGAATATGAACCAGCCAAGTGGGGTCCTGGGATATTGTATTCATTGATATAGATAGAGATAGTTTATTTTGAAAAGTCCACAATCTGACAATACAAACAAATAAAAAATGGAGAGTTCTGGAGAGCGAGCAAAACCTTTAAAAAAGTTTAAAGCACGATGAGTATCATGTGCCCGCTGTGTTATAGCAAGTAGTAATGTGTAATGAATTTAATTCACTGTGGTAAATGAATTGCTATCTTTTTATTTGTTATGAGCACACTTGCTGGAACTCCATAATCCATTATTTTATTTTTTAGTAACACTTTTCATAAAAATATCAAATTGTTTATCATACTTGCATCCATATTTCGCCCTAAATTCCATTCTATGACACTTTCTCTGTATCCAAATATCTATGTACATGACCACATTATTTATTTTTTAGTAATACTTCATTTAAAAGTATCATAATGTTTATTATACTTAGTATTTTATTCTAGTATAGCTATTCTAGTATTTTATCAGTTTTTTGCCTTAAATTTCATTCTATGATACTTGCTCTGTATCCAAATATCTATATGTATATGACCACTTTATTTATTTTTTAGTACCGGTAATACTTATTTGAAAATAACCTATTGGGTATCATTGCTATTTCAGTATATTATCAATATTTCGCCTTAAAATTCATTCTATGTTACGTGCTCTGTAGGCGAATATAGATATGTACATGAGCATTTATTTTATATATATATATATATATCTGCTGGAGAAGGGTCAAAGCCTGATCATGTCTTATTGTGTGTTACTATCCTCCAAATCACTTGCCAGTCATAATCAAGTATTATAATTTGATGTGTTCAAATTATAGTGTATAAAGAAATCTACTCATGATTTCATTACTATTATCAAATGTTTATAATTAAAGTGCTATAATAATAGAATTTTCCCCATCTTTGCTTATAAAAATTCCATGTCCTATTACATTCATTTTTAGTAGACAAATTTTCCAAATAATAGGTATCCTCGCTAACCCATTTTTATGCAGTTGATATGCAATACATGTCAACTTATCAGCTGAATAAATGATGATCTTAGGACAAAACATGATTATTTAGTACTTTCCAAATCAAAAAATCTTGTGAATAATGTATATAGTGAATACGGTATATGAGAGGTATTGAAGAATTTAACACCGAACCTGTTAAATGACCCGAAATGTTGTAACGTTGTCTCCCAGTCAAACACCTGAGCATCTGTTTTTTTTTTATTATAATTTATATATGTTCATGGTTTGACGAACGAAATAAACTCTCTCTCTCTATTAGTTTAAAATACTGACTTCTGGACTTGGCTAATTTTATACATATCAAAACTTGTCATTTATTTCGTTCCATCCATGTATTTTCCACATGTTTTTCCAATAAAACATACTTACGCCTTACAACTGTTATTTGTAGCTTATTATTGTTAGCTAATTATTTTTGAGGTGGGGCGCAAGACTTCACAAATTCTAAAAAGGGGGTGCGGCTTGAAAAGTTTGGGAATGTTTGTATGTAGTAGACCCTAACCTGGTACACATGGTTCCCGTGTCTACCAACTGGGTTTACATACTTCAAGAGTACCTTTTTGTATTACAGTTGTGAAACAGAAAAAGTTGAATGTCGGTCTTATTCTTTCTGTAAATTTACCAAAAACTCCACAAAAATGAACAAAGTGTATTATCAATGAAATGAAAAGTGACATATGAAAAATACAGAAGCGGTAGAAAATATTTTGCATTACAGAAAAATTAGTTCACATATTACATATTTTACATTACAAAAAAAATGGTGCTCCAAAAGTATGTGTACCAATATGAAGGTAACTAATTTTGTTCGCCTACTTTATATCAAGTTGTGTAAATGGACTAAATTCTATCGGTATGGGGATATTCACTTGTGTAACACAGACAATTACCGAACTTTTAATAGAACAAAAATAAGGAGAATCGTAACCTAACCTGGTACACATACTACGAGAGTACCGAAAAAACAGCCCACATAGTAAAAGCAGTTATGGAAATACTTTACATTACAGAAAAATTAATTCACATAGTAAATAGCAGACGAAGGAAATATTTTGCATTGCAGAAAAAATATCTCACATAGTTAATAGCAGCCATGAAATATTTCTCACTATTAATTACAAAAGTATAATTGCATCCAAATCAACAGTATCAATACGACTATATAAAGGATCGTTAAAATTAAATAATATGCAAGGATCATATTGATAACAAAATGTATTCTAATCAATTTTAATATATCTAAAACAAAATCTTCATAAATATTTTTTGTAAATTTACAATACATGAAAATATGTGAAACAAACCCAGGTTCTCCATTACATAATACACACATTTCATTCCCTTCTTTTCTTCCAATTTCTGGCTTTTGTTTTCAATGGCAAGATATCCCAGAGTAATTTATAGTTAAAATCAGTATTTTTAACAAGTAAACGAATAGCTCGCAGAGCCATGTGATTCATATGGAGGACAGAGCTATGATTGAGAGAGGCCGTGGTTCGCCATATATTTAGGCCTTCTTTTCGGCTTTCCTCTCCCCTTGGATAAATATGTAAATCCCATGTTATATTAATTATTAAATACATAAATAACCGCACTCCTCTCGGCGACTGGTTCATATTCTGTTCTGTAGATACGTTTTCTGTCTAATAGATATGCATTCCCAATAAGCATATGCTCATAGTTGTATGCTTTCAGCGTACCATACTTCGAAACCCAAAATCAAATATGTATTGAAGAATTAAAGACCTCAAGTCACTCAAGAATTAAAGTTAATACGGCCAATTTCGCACCCGACTCGGCTGAAGCAAGGGATTTTGTCAGCGAGCAATGCGTTTTCTTAATATGCAACGAACCATTTAGCTGGACGACGTAAAAATGCAGGGAACAATGCCATAATGAGCAAATCGTTGCAAGTTTCCACTCATTGTATTTATGCTCATTGTTTGAGGTTACCTTTCCCATATACATGTTTCAATGGTTCTGATCATTTCATTTACTCAAAACAATACGCAATAATGTGTTTGCGAGTCACGCTGGTGGAATTCGTCTATTAAAAAAGATGACCATTTTCGTGCAGTACCCTTCTTTTTCATCCGAAAAGTTCCGCTCCTGCAAATTGACGAAATCCCACTTGTGCTTACAAAGCTACCTAAAAGTGTGTGTCAAATATGCAGCCCAGGTGCTATCTAAGACTGCTGCAAGATTGATGCAGCAGAGAGGTGGGCCAGAGCTCTTGGTCAGCATTGTCTATGGATAAATGGTTTGATATTATGAATACTTGGATAAATTTTGGATATAAAAATGGGTGCTCCCGTAATATGTGTACCAGGTTGGGGTTATCAGGTTGTGCGCTATCTTGGTACACATACAACGGGAGTGCCTAAAAAAGTGCTTCGACCATTCCATAGCATTGGTGAGCGTATGATTTGGCTTGAAAATAATTTTCATTCCAGGAATACGCAACTGGAATCATCTGTCGCTGGGACAACTCAAACAGTTCTAGATATGCTGTATTTTTACTATGCAACTTACATTGCCTATTGTCATGAAAATATACTATATTGCAATGAAAATTTTGTTATGAAAAATAGATTGCTTTGTTTAATTACTGCTAAAGTATTAAAAATAAAACTGGAATCACATCTAAACGCACTACCTTGCAAAATAAAGTGAAAAGAGATCATGCTCTTCATCTACATTTATTTTTTTAAGCAGTTTTCGTAGGGATAAATTCTGTTTGATGGCACCTTATTTTTCCAAGATGTCCAGCATTTGCTGTCCAGCAGCAAATGATTCTATCCCCTTCAGTCACGCACATATATCCAATTCAGAAAAAAATTATTTTTCATTACAAATTGACTCATTTTTGGTCATCTTTGACAAAAATATTAAAAAAAAAAATTTTCTCCCCCCCCATATGCAAATTAGGGGATGTGTACAAATGTACACTTTGTGTCAAAGTCAAGAAAAAGTTGCTGAAAATTGGAAGAAATCAACAAATGAAAATTCTTAAAAAAACATCGAGTTAATTTGCAATCGTCTTAAAATTGTCTTTTGTTGCACAAAAGTTGTGAAAACGACCAAAATAAATGATATCTTGATTGAAAAATCAAGTTTCTAGAGCACAGATCTGTTAAGATTTTTTTCAAATTTTTTCTTTTTAAAAGTTCACTAAAACTCAAAAAGCAATTCTTCTCTTTTGTGAGGCACAAGAAGACGTTGCACTTGTTGCATTTAACTCTACTTCTTCCATTGCAACCCTCGTATTTGCATCTCTGGCCTAATCCATTGATGCAAGATGGAAAATGCATAAAACCATCATATCTAACATCTCCAACAGGTCGCTCTGATGATTTGCGCCTCTTAGCCAAATGTGGCACTTGTCTTTCTGTTTGAACTTGTTGTGAAGTAGAACGCGGTCTTCCGACAGTGGGACTCTTCACCAATGCCGTGGTAAACACGTTAGCTTTGAGCAAAGCAAATGCAACCTCGCTTCTGTATTCCAGTAGTTCCATGGTGCGTGACCTTGGAGTTCCATTTGCTCGTTCAATATCGCGATATTCTAGCCACGAGTTCGCAAGCGCAAAATCCATGAAGTGGAAAATTACTCTAACTGGCCACTTCTTTGTTTAAGCTTTGGTCCTGTACAGCGAAATGAGGAAATCTAGTTTATCGACTCCACCCATATTATCGTTGTACACCTGAACACATTTTGGCCTTTCTACCATGATGTGTTCTTTTGTGCTGGCTCTCCACCGTCGCACCTGATCCTTTTCGTCAACGCCAGCGAAGCTTGAAGCAAGTGTTACAGCGCCATTATCCATCCAACGGACTACACAAATATCACCTTTGTCTGATACCTTGTAATCGATTGCACCTCTTCCTTTCTTCTTGAGGTCTTTTTCAGATTTTAGTTCACACCCCATCAGTCGATTGCTTTTAACAACTCCAAGTGAATGAATGCCTCTTGATTTTAATTCTCTTATCAGTGGAATTCCGGTAAAATAATTGTCAAAACAAATTTTGTAGTTCTTTTGTTTTGGTATGGTATCCACCAAGCGTAGAACCACAGATGCACCAAGACCAAGATGCTTAGTTTCATCCGGAATTCCTGTGCCGGCACCTTGATAAATTTCAAAATCGACTGCTCGCCCAGATTTACCACAAATAACAAAATTCTTGAGACCAACAGGATTGGGTTTACCTTTGACGAAATTGTTTAGCAGGTACTCTACCAGTGAAAGGAATCATTTGCTCATCAACCGCATTGAATTCCTCCCGAGGCAACTGGATGCAACGATTTCGAACTGCATTAATAACTGGCTTCACCTTCCAAAACTTACAATTTTCTCCAGTAGGAGGTTGTCTAGCCGCATTCACGTGTAAGCTATTACGAAGCAGGAAGTATCTATTAACGGGCATGGATTCAGCAATTTTGTCAACACGATTCACTTTTTGCCAATACATCCGAAGTCGTGGGAAACCCAAGTTAGCCATCACAATCGACGCCCCAAAAAAGCGACATATTTCGACTGAATTGGTACCAAGAATTCTGCCCTTTGCTTGCAAGTGATAAATATTTGTTTGATCCGCAAAAAGTTGAAATAGTTCTGGTTGGAAGTAGTTGAAAAAATATTTTGCAGGTGTATCTAGAGGATCAGCAGCAATTGGCCTTTCTTGCCAGGTCAGAAATCGAGGCTGAAATGGATTTCTATCTGGCGAATGCCACTTTATTTTGAACTTTTTCTCCTGTTGCTTACTACTGTTTACAGCATCAGCTGGCTCCTCACTTTCTTCCACGTCTTCATTGCTGGTCGAAACTACCAGTCTGTTATTGATACTGTAGGAATTTGAATCGTATTCTTCTTCCATATCATCTTCGGATCCAGAAAGGTCAATGTCAGACTCATCTAGTCGATCTAACACCTCTTCTGCATTCAATATCTCCTGCCTCACTAAAACAAAACATATTTCATTGCCAGGGTTGGTATAACACTTGCTACTTTACAGCCTGGAAGAACATTTTAGCTTCAGTACTATTAAAGTATACCTTTAAAAATTAAAGCTTTTACTATTGCTATATACGCTTATTATCTCCCAATCACTGTTCTTTAAAACTGAGACCTTGATTTACATTACCCTAAGCTGTACTGCACTACGGTACCATAAAAATACCAAGTTAGGCTACAGTTTGGGATAATTTCAACATGAAATTTTCTGCTATAATCAATATAATAGAGAGACTTCCGATAACAGAACTTTCAATAACACTGCAACACATGATTGTGAACTTTCCTGGTAAAATTTAAGGCCCTAAAAACATATAAAACAAAGTGATTTATTTCATGAAAGTCTGTGCTTTTTACTCATGTTAGTCACGAAAGGTACAATTGTACACACCAATTTTTAAAAAATTCTACCATCTACATATTAGCTCAACTGAAACCAAAAACTGGATAAACGTCACCCCAAGTAGTCCTAATTGCAGTCTAAACCTAATTTATTGGCTCTACACACATGAAAATGGTAAAAAAATTACACCAACTTACCGCTTGTTGAGCATGCTTCAGCCATCGCAATTTCCACGCTGCCAGACGACTCACCACTAGGGGGAGACATAAAACCAAACTCATAGCGCGATAGAACCGAGAAAGCTCAATTGAACACACCGTGACTAATTTCGGTTAGGTGTATCAATGACATTAAACAACATGATGCGCAACTCCGGCATTTTTGTCCGAAGATCGTATTCGATAGCACGCTCCAATGCACATACTTGACGAGACGAAAACGAGCGGATGTGTGCTGCTTTCAAGGCGTAGCACGAATGGTGTTCGTGCCTGCTTTGACAGTTGTTGTCGATTTTAATGATATTTTGAATGTTGGGGTAAAAAGAAATCGGTAAAAGGTAAGGTGAATACTATTGTTGTATATCACACCCGGGCATCGCACTGTTAAGTACATGTGGGAAAGCCAGCCTTTGTCAAATACTACGAAGTTATTAATTCAGTACGGTACGTAGTTGCCCATTTGCCGAAATTACATATTTACTTACCCCTTATGGTTTCAAATAGTTCATGCACCTCCAGTTAGATTTTTTTAATCAGTGAGGATATATACTCATTGTTGATTGCTGCTCATTGTAACATACTATTACGCATTCACTTTTATTTGCGTATTGAATCAAAGTGTTAACAAGTTCACCTAACATTTCACTCATACCGGTCTATATTGTATAGTCTGATTTCTCAAGTATTTGGAGCCACGAATGCTTGTAATTTTCTGACTAAACCCTTTTATTAGTTGGTTTATATACCAAATTCAGTAAAATATTTTTTAAATAAAACATGAGATATTGGATTTATTAGCTTTTCCATTCTGAATCATATAGACTGCTTTATTTATTCTTAACGAAAATTAATAAATCTCCTCTCTTTCTTCAGATGTGAAAGTTGTGGACAAACCTGTCTAAGCATTGTGAGACTCTTGCAGCACAAGAGGCAATAGCAGAAATAGTAAGTATATCAATCAAGAAATTAAGCCGACATAAAGCAAAACTTTCAACTATTCGTCTAATCTCAATTTCCTATTATTTATTCACAGGACAACTATAGCAAACGTGGAGATATCAGAAGTCTGGCGACATATCAGTGACAGTGTGATTCCAAGAAATATAATGCAATTGAAAATAGAAAATTGCAATAGAAAAACAACCTATGGAGGCATGCAAAGACATTTGACCCTCCGGTAGAGTTGTGTATGGCCCCCACATCCTGCAGGGCTTGAGGAAAATAACTAAAAATTCCAAAGCGTAAGATTGCATAAGCGGTCTTATTTGTAAAAAGGCACAAAACACGCCAGACATACTTAAAACAGCTTTGGAAATGAGGATTACGGGTACCTCACTGCACCTGTGTTATATTTGGTTCATCAACTTTTGGTAGTACTATAGAAGAAATTCCGGAAGGGGTATAATCATCATTCATGATAAAATACTATCATATATTTTTTGAACAACTTCAATCTAGACCAGGGATCTCAAACTCGCGGCCCCAGAGAACTTCCAGTGCGGCCCTCGAACGCTTAACAATAATTGTAATAGTATTTTGGAAGTTTTTTTATCTAAATGTAATAGATTTTTCAAACCTTCTAAAGTGAAATTGATTATTCACACAGAAAACAATTTACTGAAAGTAGTTTTGGAATATTAATTTTTTTGTCCACATTTTGACCCAATTAAGAATACACATCAAGCTAGCAAAAGAATAATTGAATAAAACACTTGAGTAATTAAATTAAACGCAAAGTACATGAAGAAGGTGGCATTTTCGAAGAAAATGGAGTTGTAACATTTCTGCTCTTCACAAATTCTGAAGCACATTGTTTAATTTGTCATAT